CCTCCGACTGAAGCTTTTCCCACACTCCAGGCATTTGTATGGTTTCTCCCCTGTGTGAATTCTTCGATGAGAAGCAAGGGGTGCACTATGACTGAAGCTTTCCCCACCCTCCAGGCATTTGTATGGTTTCTCCTGTGTGTGAATTCTTTGATGGGAAGTAAGATTGTCACTCCGACAGAAGCTTTTCCCACACTCCAGGCATTTGTATCGTTTCTCCCCTGTGTGAATTCTTTGATGGGAAGTAAGCCTGTCCCTCCGACTCAAGCATTTCCCACAATCCAGACATTTGTATGGTTTCTCCCCTGTGTGAATTCTTTGATGGGAAGTAAGCCTGTCCCTCCGACTCAAGCATTTCCCACAATCCAGACATTTGTATGGTTTCTCCCCTGTGTGAATTCTTTGATGGGAAGTAAGCCTGTCCCTCCGACTCAAGCATTTCCCACAATCCAGACATTTGTATGGTTTCTCCCCTGTGTGAATTCTTTGATGGGAAGTAAGCCTGTCCCTCCGACTCAAGCATTTCCCACAATCCAGACATTTGTATGGTTTCTCCCCTGTGTGAATTCTTTGATGGGAAGTAAGCCTGTCCCTCCGACTCAAGCATTTCCCACAATCCAGACATTTGTATGGTTTCTCCCCTGTGTGAATTCTTTGATGGGAAGTAAGCCTGTCCCTCCGACTCAAGCATTTCCCACAATCCAGACATTTGTATGGTTTCTCCCCTGTGTGAATTCTTTGATGGGAAGCAAGACTCTTACTGTAACCAAAGCTTTTCCCACACTCCAAGCATTTGTAAGGTTTCCCCCCGGTGTGAATTCTTTGATGGGCAATGAGAGTATATTTTCTTCCAAAACTTTTCCCACATTCCAAGCATTTATATAGTTTCTCCCCTGCATGTATACTTTGATGGAAGATAAGAGTGTTCTTCCAACTGAAGCTTTTCCCACACTCCAGGCATTTGTATGGTTTTTCACCTGTGTGAATTCTTCGATGGGATGAAAGGTGTGAACTGTAACGGAAGCTTTTCCCACAATCCAGGCATTTGTATGGTTTCTCCCCTGTGTGAATTCTTCGATGGGAAGTAAGACTGTCCCTCCGACGGAAGCTTTTCCCACACTCCATGCATTTATATGGTTCTTTTGTGTGAGTTCTTTGATGGGAAGTAAGACGGGAACTGTGACTGAAGCTTTTCCCACACTCCAGGCATGTATATGTTTTCTCCCTCATGTGGGAAGTAAGGTGCGCTCTCTGCCTGAAACTTTTTCCACATTCCCGGCATTTATATCTTTTCTTTCTGTTACATATCCTTTGGTCTTTATTAATAACTGATATGTCAGTGAAACTTTTCTTGCTTGCAGTGTACTCATTCCTGTTGTCTCCTTGACATGTATCTTGCTGTAGAGAGTCACTCCCCTGCAAAAGACCGGAATTATTCCTCCCTTTAGGGGGGTGTTTTCCCTTCTTCTTCCTTGGTGCATCCAAATATTCAAACTTCTCTGTCACGTCTGAATATGTATCCTCTTTTTCCATCAATCGGTGTTCTGCTCCATTTGCTGACTGCCACACGTTTCCTGCAGAAAGAAAGGGATGCCTTGTGTGAGGATATGACACTTTCCACAAACGCCTAATGTTGAGCCCAGGAGCACCTAAAGACTAACAAGGATTTTCAGGTAAAAGCTTTCAGACTCAAGGTTCCCTTCGTCATATTCGATTCAGAGTGGAGATCTCTCAGTCTTTATATCCCAGCCAGAGGGCGGAAGAGGTATTTCTAAAAAGGAACTCAGGATACAGAGGTACTCATGCACATTGTAATTAGCTGGATTAGAACATAGGAGAAATGCTTAGGGCAGAACAGAAATGGTTAGGGGCAGAAAATTAGCATCTGTGGGATAAGAATCCTATGTCACTGTTCAGCCCTGGGGGGGGGGGGGCCCCATTGTTCTGAATCTGTGAATGAACTTAAGCTCAGCAATAATTCATTTTAATTTCTCCTTCAGGCTTCTCTCTTTAACAACTGCCATGCTTAGGTTCATTTATTCTTTTGTGTAGAGATTGACCTGTTTGTCTGAGAAACAGAGTGGAAGGCCATTACTGCTATTTGCTGGCATATACAACTGGGGAAGATAAAAGGGAATGAACCTGAGATGGTATGGCTCGTGTTGTTAGGTCTTGTGATTGTGTTGTCCGAATGAAATTGGGGACAGAGTTTGTTGCAGGCCCTGGTCCCAGATTCTGTGTCCATGTTAGGAAAGGCTTTGTTCTGGGTTAGAAGTTCTTTCAAGTTAAGAGGCAAGAAAAAGTTTGCCTCCCAATGTCTGCAAGAGAGATGTATTATTGTCCAGCATAGGTTGTTAATGATGCACTTAACTGGTTTTAGCTGAGGGCTGTATGTGACCGCCAGTAGTGAACATAATAACATAAGAAGGGCCCTGGCGGATCAGACCAATGGTCCATCTAGTCCAGCATCCTGTCTCACACAGTGGCTAACCAGTTCCCCTGGAGGGCCAACAACAGGGCATAGAGGACAAGGACTTTAGAAGGGAGAGACAAGAAGGACATTCGTGAAGAGAAGGACAGGCATTCATGCCTGAAGAAATGGCAGATGGTCTGAAGAAAAGTGCTGATGGAGAAGGAGGTAGTCTAAAGGAGAACAAGAAAGCTGAAACTATGAAGTTCTTTCTCTTTAACATCACAGAGGTAAGTTTCAGATCTAGAGAAAGAGGGCTTAGACATTGTATAAATGAATCTAATTCTAAGTGACTTTAATAACTAAATGTGTTATTTTAAGATTTTTTTAAAAAAAAATTGTGACAGCCAATGGCCATATACAATAAACTGCTTCTATGTTCTAGGGAGAGAAGTGGGTTTTTCCTTTTTGAGTTTCCCTGTGCTCAGATGTCCTGGTGGGCAGCCAGGCTGGGGACAGTGGCAGAGTAGAGGCCAGGAGGGCGATAGAGCTGGCTGGCACTCCTCTTAGGCAATCGCTTAGGGCCACCGAGTGGACGAGCTGCCACTCTGTTGGCTGATTCTCTTATGGTCTGGCTGCCAGCTGACAGACTGGAAGTCTAACTCAAGCCAGATGGGGGCAGCAGAGAGTAAATTCCAGCTGAAATAGGAATGGAGACGAAAAGGGCTTGGGGGTGGGCAATTCCTCACCGCCTTCTACTAAGACCACAATGAGCAAAGCCAATCCCTCAGGAATAAGTAGATTCCTATGAAATGTGGCGTTGAAGGATACTGTTATACATACCAGGACCACCTAAAATACAAAAAGGTAGCCTCTACTGGTTTGGTGTAATGGTTAAGTGCGTGGACTCTAATCTGGGAGAACCGGGTTTGATTCCCCACTCCTCCACTTGCAGCTGCTGGATGACCTTGGGCAAGCCATAGTTCTGTCACAGCTGTTCTCTCAAGGACAGTTCTCAAAGAGCTCTCTCAGCCTCACCTACCTCACAGGGTGTCTGTTGTGGGGAGGGGAAGGGAAAGGAGTTTGTAAGCTGCTCTGAGACTCAGAGTGAAGGGCGGGGTATAAATCCAATCTCCTCCTCCTATAGACCAAATCAAGCATGAAGCCTCCCTAGAAGCTAGCATGACTTAAGCTGAGGGTATCGTACTTTGGCCACATTGTGAGCAGACAAGAGGCACTGGAAAACAAAGTCATGCTAGGAAGAGAGGAAGGGAGCAGGAGGAGAGAAAGACCCAACATGAGATGGATTGATTTCATCGAGGAAGCCACGGCCCTCAGTTTGTAAGAACTGAGAATGGCTTTTAACTGTAGGACATTTTGGAGGGCATCCGTTTATAGGGTCCATCAGAAGTCAGAAGCTACTTCACAGCCCTTTAACACAGAGGGTGCGTTCAGACGGGGCGTTTCAGCCGGCATAAACTGTACCGGTTGGAACCGGTGCAGTTTATGCCGGCTGAAACGCGATCACACTCACCTCCATTCTCATTCTCCATTCTCCAAAATACAGAAAGTGCAGATAATCAAATGCCGAGCTAAAACAGCGTGGGGGAGCTGATCCCTAGCCGGCTAAGCAAGGATCTCGGCGTGGGCGAAGGAAGGGGAAATCAACAGGAGTAAAGAAAGACTCATCCAAGACGGAGTTTAAAAACGTGGCCACAGAAAACGGAGAGTTAAGGAAGCCTTACCCAAGACGATTACAGAGAACGGAGTGGGGGAGATTGGCTTTCAAGTGGAGGAGTGTGGAGTAGCCGAGAGGTATCGGGATCGGAAATCAATTGGGAAGGTCTGGGAGGATTGCGAGAGAGCTGACAGCTAATATCGAAGAGAAGGAAGTGACTTTTCCTCCTCCTGCCCTTTTAAAAAAAAACTCAGTTTGAGCGTGCGCATAGGCAGCCATCCACAGAATGGCGATCTTTGCGCATGCTCCAAACACCCCGTATTACATTTAAACTTTAAATAAGGACT